AGAGAGACGTATTGTTGTAAGTTAACGTTCGTTGTTATAGCGTTTGTTTAGCGCGATTGTTGAAATTAAGTGTATCGTAAAGTTATATTGGGAAAGAATAAACTAGTTTTATTAAGTAAGGACTTGTGTCGCTAAAGTTTCGTCGGAACAAATTTACGGAAAATCAATTAACACAGGGGAGACGTAACAGTATTATACTCATAATTGGAATTGTGATATATTTATTATAATTAAATGCCATCTGTCATTTATTTGCCCAACTCATAAAATAATACAAATTCTCTTGAAAAGCAGCAGCAGCATCCACTTTACAGCCTGCAAAGTCCAAAACCTTAATATCATCAGTAAGTGTAAATAAGGTATTCACCATTCCTTGATCTATGTCATTGATGTAAAAGAAAAAAAGTTTTAACATACATATACAAAAAGAGCAAAGGTTCTAACATTGAGATCTAAGGTACCCACTTATGAAATTAATCCAGTTTGACTGAATTCCATTTATAGCAATCCTCTGCTTTCTTTCATCAAGCCAGTTTTCTACCTAATGAGCTAATCTATCATCTACACCTACAGAAATACTTTTAAACAAGTCTTTTGAGTGACACCTTGTCAAATACTTTTTGAAAATACAGATGTGCCAAATCTACACCTGTACTCTCAGCTACATAAGCAATAACCTCTTCAAAGAATCTGAAAAGATTAGTTTTGAAATAGTTTCCCCTATTGAAACCATGCTGACTATTCAATAAAATTTTAAACTTTATTAAATGACTTTGCAAAACATTTTTTATTGGATTTTCAAAACTTTTCATACCACTAATATAAGAATAAACACTGCCAGATATAAAAGACTGTTTAGTGTTGGTAGTATTGTTACGTTTCTGTTCGTTTGATAATTTCCCGTATAATTTCTTTCGGATGAAACTTTAGCGGCACAAGTCCTTTCTTAAATAAAACTGGTTTATTCTTTCTGAATACAACTTTGCAATACACTTAATTTTCACAGTCCCGCTATAACAAACGCTATAATTCACAACGAACGACTCACGTGCTCGACTCAATTG